AGAGTACAACGAATCATGCATAGTAATGTTATATCCCCTAGATCTTCGGATGTAGTCTTTAAAAGGATTAACTTTACCATTCAAAAAGGCTTAACGGCACAGCTTGTTGCCCGTTTGTCATCTCACTCATTGTACGATGACAATTAAAATATTGGTTAATATATTTATTTAAAAAAAAAGAGTAGTTTAAAAGTAAATTAAATTTGATTTAAAAAAACACAAAAATAATGTTGGTCAATATCTAAAAAATACTGAATACAATCTTTCTACTATTTATTAACATCAAATTTGATCTTAAAGTTTACTTGTATTAGTTAATATTTTAACTATGAATTTTTACATACACAACAAGAAATAAATCTATTAGCGGCGACAACGATGACAGACACTTTTAGCGATGATAATAGACAAACGCGCTTTTTGTCGTTGCTATTAACCTGCCACCGGCAATCCGAGTGCCCCACAGGAAAATGCATCCTGACCGTTCATTTTTAAATGATCCATCGGTTAGGGTTTCACCTCGCTTGAAGCAATAGAAACGACGACAATTGCGACGAAATGTCGTCGCTAATGCTGACGATCTGTGTGACCACCGCAGAAGAGATCTTGACCCTTCGTTTTTCTCTGATCTGACGGCTAACACTCACGTAGAAATGGCGTGTGTTTTTTCCTCCAAGTCGTCGCCACTATTGCCCTAATGTCGCCTCTAAAGGCGTCACCCCAAAAGTTGTCGCCCCTTTTGTTCCCGCGTTCATCCCAGATCAGTTTGCTGCCACTTTCTCTACATTTTCTCCGGCGACTAGACGAGTTCACCGACAAATAGCGATGATTTTCACCAGTTCATCTACCACTCACTTCACCGGCGACGCCACTTCCCTCCACTCCCACTCACCTCGCAGGAAAAACATCACACGACGCCGTACGAGAAAAACACAACTTCTCCTGCCATCTCCGGCGACGGTAACGTACTCGACATCCCTCCTTTCTCTTTCTCTTTCTCTTTCTCTTTTGGCCCTAATTCCGAACCTAATTTCATCAAATTTGATGTTATAAGAACTATTTTCCGACGACATACCACCACCGCCACAACAGGGCAGTTTTCCGTCGACCACCATCATCACAACACCGATGGATTTTCCATTTCTCTTGCTATAGGTGTAACATCCAAAAAATTCAAATAAAATTTTCATTTTTAAATTCATTTCAGTCAAACGGTAATCATACAAAAACAGTCGAGAGTATATCATAATAACATATCATCAAAGTACAAAATCCCAAAATCACGTGATGCGGAAAATCATAGGTGGATGCGGTGCGATCAGGCAGGAACCTTCCCTTTCGAGTTGGAAGTACCTGAAATATAAACTGAAAACCATAAGTACAAAGCTTAGTGAGTTCCTCTAAAATAGCCCATACCATACATCCATAACAGTCAAGCATATATGGGTGCTCGCAACACCTTCGGTCTATTTCAACCGGTACTGGGTATATTTCAACACATTCGGTCTCTTTCAACCGGTACTGGGTATTTTCTCAACTTCTTCGGTCTCTTTCAACCAGTACTAGGTATATTTCAACCCCTTCGATCTCTTTCAACCAATATCGGTCTATTTCACCCCTACCACTACCACATAATGTCATGACAAAAGAGTCACAGAGATATCAAGCAAATACAGGCATAATGGACAATTGTCACGAAGACAATCATCATACTACAAGCATAAACGAGTGGGCCGGTGTTGGTGCCTTCGACCCACGAATACAGTGAAGGAAACTCACCTCAAACTGGAGATGTCAAATCACACTTGGGATGCTGACTCGCGAAATCCGCTCACTAGATCCCAAGTATAAAATCCTAATTAGAATTTAGGTCAATAATCTATCCCGAGAGTCCAAACCCTAAATCCTAAATCTAAGGAAAAAGTTACTTAATCCTTGCGTTATTGGGCCCAACCCACCAAGGCCCACATACAATTAGGACCAAGGCCCAAAAAATGGGTCCAAGTCTAAAAGCCCATCACAGAAAAACTCACGGCCCAACAAGGGCCCAAAGTCCTTAAATCCAAGAATGGCCTGAAATAAGCCCAAGCTCCCCCTCTGGTGAGTACGCTCAATGTACTTCCAGTACGTCCGACATACTCACGACCTTCGCACCCACGGGACTTCATGAGCGTACGCGCAACGTACCTCTAGGTACGCCCGGTGTACGCTACACCCGCCAAAGTCCATCTTCAAGGTCTTAATAAGTTAAGACCTAACGTATAATTTTAGATCTAAGCTTATTAGAGTGTCTTAAGCATAAAGTTGCAAACTTTATGCTTTTGCATGTCTTGAATGGGTCATATCTTGAACTAACTTCATGAACCCAACTTGTAACACCTGTTTTCTTGGACGAATCGAATTAGGGTTTCAAGGAGTCAAAAGGTTGAGCTTTGGAGAAAGGGATCCTCACGACGTGAGGCATGGAAGCTCACGACGTGAGATGATATGCATGAGGATTTATGTCCGGGACTGAGCTCACGACGTGAGCAATAAAGGCTCACGATGTGAGGAGCGCTGCAGCCCAAGCCCATGATCTTTTAGGGTTTCCTTCGTATTTAAGCATCTCTAACCTCATTTTAGACTTTCTTATCAGCCCCAAACCCTCTTTCACCTTAGAAAAACCCTAGTGCCTATCCTTGCTTGATCTTTGGTGGTTTTGGAGCTTTTCTTGGATTGGAAGAAGAAGGAAAGAAGAAGAAGAAGGCGGTCTTGTGTTGTGGCTTGCAAGGAAACATCATCTTCATCACCTTGTATTGTTTCTGGATAATTATAAGTGATAAAGCTCCTACCTTTATGGTTATATAAGGCTAGATCTTGGTTTTGTCCCACTTTTCTTCTTGATTGAGCATTTTGAATGAATAGAAACCATAAAGTTGGCAACTTTATGGGTTATGAGGGCCTTAGGGATGTCTTGGAGTTCAGATCTAGGTAATGGTTGAGTTTTGGGACATTAATGAACGTTGGATGCCTTTTTCTTCAACTTTAGACTTAATTAAGATCAAGACATTTATTTGACATATATGTCTTAAAAGCATCGACTTTCTTGTGTATTAAGAAGTTATAAGACCCTCTGGAAAGTTGGAGTACAAGGCTTAATGGATTAAGGACTTAAAAGATGGACTTTTAGCTTTAGACTGTTTTCACGATATGATACATGGGTGTCTCACGACGTGAGGGAATAGTGACCCTGTTTCTAGTATCTTGTTGAAGCTCACGACATGAGAGAAGGGTTCTCACGACGTGAGGTCAACTTCGTTGAATTTCTTGACTGAGTTGGCCAGGTTGAGTCAAATTGTAATGTACTTAATTAGTCTTTTATTAACGGATTGAGCCTGTCCATCCGTGTATTTATGGTGCTAGGGTTAGACTATTTAAGGGTCATGCATGTATCGTTTTAGGGTTAACAAGTTGTATTGCCCTACATAGCTTTTACATAAAAATTCACGTTGAACTCTTCTAAGGCTATTGAATCTAAGCATTCGGCACTATTTGATCTTCATTGTTCTTGCTGTTTGATTCATATAGTTATAGAATCTATCGATCAAACTCTTTATTGTTTCAACACCTGTATCTGCTTGATGTCTTTGTGACTCTTATTGTTATGATTATGTGTGTAGTGGTAGGGGTGAAATAGACCCGATACCGGTTAAAAGAAACCGAAGGGGATGAAATAGACCGTTTTCCAAAAAGTGTAATTATGTTATTATACAAGAAAAAGGGAGTCGTAGTTCACGTAAATCCGTTAAGGCCCTAGTGAGACACATTCACTTCACCGTACCTACCTAGCGTACACTTTAAGTCCTGCATTATAACCAGAGTCTCCTGGAGGGAGGGCGAGATAGTTGTGTATAGATCTATACGGGATTGAGAATCCCACACCTGAGTTGTTCGCTACAGCTAGACGGGCCAGTCTAGGGTGACAAATATCTTCCCGATTCTGACGCTTGAATAACGTTGTGTCAGGCATAACAGTCCCATTAGCATGGTTATAATAACTCACTTAGGGATTAACAATACTATCTTGATTTACGGGAAGCTTACACTTCACCGGTTTTATTAAAATATAAAACTGCATACTACTTTTCTGTACATTATTGGTTACATTTATGGTCTTA